TCTTGTACCAAAAGTACTAAAGCGGTATTTTTTGCTTTAAAAGAAAAAGAAAAAAAAACACTGAAAATAATAGTGAATTGAGGTAGCTAATCTTTGGCAAAAGGTGCAGATCACCCCCTCAACTCAACCACTGGTGGCAAATCACCCCCTCAACCCACTTCACGCGCAAATCACCCCCTCAACTCACCTGCAGTGGCAAATCACCCCCTCTGTTAACACCGGCACCATCCTTTCGTTAACTTTCATCCGAACATGATTTCCTCTCCCAGTCCATTCGGTAAATATAACAAGCACTGAGTAAACATTGTTTCTTCACCCTTATCAACAGATCACCCTTCACCTCCACCAAGTAAAAGCATTGGCATCCCTCTTTGACTGGTTCTACACTCAGTTTCACTGCTTTCTGAAAGTTGTTGACGGTAGGTTGAATAACCCAGATGTAACCGTAAAAATCAATGGCGTAGAAGTCACCCTTGTAGAATATTGCATCGGAACACCGTCCCACGAAGTTGTGTATTCTGATCCATGCATGATCCCCTGTTCTGCAAAAGGAAAAACTATGTCCGTGTTTACCGGGATGGATGGCCAGGACTTTGCAGAGAGGATCCCTTGGAATGGTGGAGGTGATCACCCTCGTAAACTCCGGCTTCTTGGAACTCATCAGGCAGATCTCCGGCCTCCTGAATCGTTTCTCAGGAGGAAGCCTAACGGTGGTGCTGGTGATGGGATTTAAAAGATGAATGGCTTGATTGGCAACGGTGAGAAGCCAGCCATGAGAGGATGCAGTATACCATCCTCCCTGGAGTTGTGGTAGAAAAATCCTGTGGATTTTGTGGGAGCAATAGTTGTAGATCCGACAGCATTGTCGGCCTGTTTGATTCTCCAGCGGAAGCAATACTAATAGAGCATTGGATTTGAGTCCGAGATAGCGTAAATAGAGTAATTGAGCGGCATATTGCCAGGAGACACAGACCACGCGGAGAGCCAGCTTGAAGATGACTTTTGGGTCGGTGGTACTCGACGACATTGACGGAGGAAGGGCTTATGAGCGAACTGTTAAAAGCTAACGGAAGGATGGTGCCGGTGTTAACAGAGGGGGTGATTTGCCACTGCAGGTGAGCTGAGGGGGTGATTTGCGCGTGAAGTGGGTTGAGGGGGTGATTTGCCACCAGTGGTTGAGTTGAGGGGGTGATCTGCACCTTTTGCCCTAATCTTTAGCTAACTTTTGGATTTTGGTATTTACAGTTTTCTTTTATTGGGGTTGATATTTTTAATAGAAATTTTGTTTAAAAAAAATTGTGG